TTCTCATCATCCTAGAGTTCATACATTTACAACAGAACGGATCTACCCCCAAAGCTGCTTTTCCTCCCAGTCTTTTCCATCTCGGTAACTGGAAACAACCAGGTCCCAGTTCGCTGATGGTGCCAGAAGAGCAGGACTCGGCTTTGACTCACGTCCAGCTCATCGTTGAGAGCTGTATATTGTTTTTCCAGAATAGACGTCAGTTCCACCTACTTCTCATTATTGATCTAGTCCAGGTCAACTACAATAGCTGTCGTTGAATCTTTACTGACTCCGCGTTTTCAAGTGTAGGTGACATCATCCTTCTCCCAAACACCTTTCCATGGCTGGCCACCTTGCTTCAAATAAGAGCCAAGATTTGTGTGGCTGGTTTCAGCCCCTTCTGCTTTCCCCCTTGCCTGCCACGTTCTCATCGCACTGACCTCTTTCAGTTCCTTGATCATAGTAAACTTTATCTGCTTCAAAACCTTTGCACATGGTGTTGACTTTGAGCAGAACAGCTTCCCTCTTTCTTCATTCAGTTAACTCATCTTCAGGGGTCTTGGCTTGAATAACATCTCCTAAGACTCCCCAGTCTCTCGGGTCTCTCCTGCCTTTTTCACTCTCTTAATAGTCTTTTTAAAAAATATTTTTTAAATTGATTTTTGAGAGAGAGAGGAAGGGAGAAGGGGAGAGAGAAAGCAACATCCATTGGCTGCCTGCTGTAGGGATGGAGCCCACCTGGCACGTGGCCCAACCTGAATGGAACTGATGAGCTGGTGCCTGGGACTACGCTCAACCAACTGAGCTACACCGGCCAGGGCTCTCTGAATATTCTTAATGCATTCTGTGCTTTTCCTCCAAGTACTTACTGTGTAATTATTTGATTAATATCTATCTTCTTCAATTGAATGTAAGCTCTAGGAGGGCTATGTATTTTACTCATCAATATATATGACTGGCAGAGGTCTGACCTTAGACTTAAGACCAAAGTGAAAACTTTCATATAGCTTCTTTGCTGAGTGAGTTTTCATTGTCTGATAAATTGGGACTTCTCTTTTACAATCTTCGACCTGAGTCCTAAGACGGCAGGCAGGGACAGCTTAGCAACTTTATTGTCTGTCTTTTTTTCACCCACTTGTGATAGGGTCTAAAACATAAGCTGTCCCAGACAGCACCAACTAGCTGGGAGGGGCAGAAACTTTACTGTGACCACAGTGGGAAGAGGCCCTGCATGAGCGTGGCTGTTAGGGTAAAGCTGGAGTTTTTGTCAACAATGAGACAGGACACTTACACAGAATGAAAATGCAAGGTTGCAAATTCTGCCCAAGGGAGCTGGAAAGGGGAACTGGGTGATAAATGGGTGGGGGGTAGGGGAGGATGGGGGTGGCAGAAGTTCAGGAAAGCAGTACTGGTGGCTTTATAATTTGCTGCTTAGCTTCTGCTTTCAAGCATCTGCTGTGACCAGATGGTGTGCAGACATCTCTCTGACCAGCTGATCCAAGGAGAGAGTAAAACCTTCCTGGTCTTTGTAAACTATAGGCTGTCTGGGGGAACGAACTGGCCTGCAGCAATTAGCATTGGCTTTCCCTCTCTCTCTGTCTTAGTGCCCCCCTTAGAAACCTTATCTTTATTAATACCTCATCAAATATTAACCTAAGATTTTCCCCAAATTGCTGAAGCTCCCTGCTCCCCCCTGTCCCCGCAGCTCCTGTCCCAAATCTAGCTCTCCTGAGAGGTTTTCCAAATACATAGTCAACCTCTCAAATCCTCAGTGATTCTCCAACTTGAAGAACAATGACTTTCGTGAACTCCTTTCTCCCCGTGCTGCCATGCTGTCTGGAAATATTTTTATGATAATTGCATTATTTAACTAATATAAATGATTATAAAAGTACAAATCTATAAATATCCTTACTTATGGCTTTTATACCACTACATATCACACAGTTATAAATTAAACAACAAAACTACAAAAGTTCAAGTCAACATAATATCATTTAATGTGACAGGTGATTTGGGGACGAAATAAAGTCACTTGCAATGTGAACATGGTAGTAGTGACAGGTACAGGGCAAGTTCTTTTGCGCTGGGTATCCTACATCACCATTTGCTGAGCAGATTCTCCCACAATTTTCATTTTCCTTGGTTTCTTCATTCCACCAAGGTGTCATATGACTGTCACTTGGTGCTAGTGCATCACTTCCATATTGTATGCTTCTGTTAATGTTTCATTAAATAACTTGGCACTTTGCTACCAAAAAGAGCAAGCACGAATGAACCCATGGTACTGAAATAGTGTTTATAAGAAGCTCATACAGATGATCTAGAACTGCACTGTCCAATATGACAGCCATTAGCCACATGTGGCTACTGGGCTACTGAGCATTTGAAATGTGACTAGTCCAAATTGAGCTGTAGATTTAAAATACCCCCACATCATATTTTCATGACTTAAAATGGAAAAAAAAAAAATCTCATTAAAAATTTTAAAACAGATTCCTTGTTAAAAATCATATTGTTTTGGTTTTAGTGGGTTAAATCAAATATATTATCAAGATTAATTTCACCTGGGATTTTTGCTTATTTTTGCTTTATATATATATATATTAGAAAATTTTAAATTACACATAAGACTTCTATTAGACCACATAGTTTAAAATAATTGAGTGTGAAAGAAAGTGTGTACAAAAAACTGAAAACGCCGTATAAATAATTCTCATAGAAAACACATAGGTGTCCAAGATACATAGATTTAGTTTCCAGTGTAAACCACTGATGTAGCATTTAATGGCTATGTTCTTTCTTATAAGCCAAGGATACAGAACCAACACAGCACTTTCCTTGTGGCTCTCAGTCCAGTACCCTAAGTGATATAATATCTCTGTGGTTTCCCCCCCACACATGGCTGCCTTGTAAAAGTGTTTGGGGAAGTATCCATACATTCCATCCCTCCCAGAAAATATATACTGCTATATCTGGTCATTTCACTGCCACTTGATGAGAAATTGTTCTCCTCTGGGAAAACCCAAGGTAGATAAATGCGGGGGGGGTGGGGGAGAGGGAGAGAGAGAGAAAGCACTCTCAGGGCAAACAGATGCAACTATTTCCCAAGCCACACAAAACTTCTGAAATTAAGGGACTGTGTCAGTTTTTAAAAATTGGTCTAAAATAATATTTAGCCAAATATCCAATTGCATTCATTTAGCAAATATTTGCTGAATATCTACCCATACTAAGCACCTGTAAAATATTGTACAGAGATACATAGTCAGGGATTTGCTTTCAGGAAGCTGATCATCTAACAGAGGTGATAAGACATGCCAAGCCCTAGCAGATGTGGCTCAGTTTGGTTGGGTGTTGTCTCATGCACCAAAAGGTTGCTGGTTCAATTCCTGGCTGGGAATTGAACCAGCCCGGGTTGTGGGCCCTATCCCCGCAATGTTTCTCTCTCTCTCTAAAACATCAATTAAAAAAAAAAAGACGTCAAAATTTCTTCCTTTCTAAATAGCAAATTTGACTGAGTGTATCTATGTTCTAAAAGAACTGTCGGAGTTCTTTACCTTTCATTTAATCCTCACAACTCTATGATGTTGCCCCCTATTTTACACATGAGAAAACTGAAGCAAAAGGTAATGAAAATAATAAACGTCATATGGTTATTAAGTAGCACTAGCAGGGGTCAGCCCAGACTGTCACCTCCAAAATATGAGCATTTTAGTCACTATTGTATCTTGCTTCTCTTTTTTGAAAACAAATGGTAAAAAATAATATAAATATTTTCCTACTAGAGAAAAATTAGAATATTTGGAAAAGTAGAAGAGAACATAAACTTCAAAGGACAGGAAGGCAATTCACATGTTGATGAAAAAGCAAATATTTGGTAAATAAATGTTTGCTGGGCCACCTTTAATAACGGGACACAAAGAGGAATTTGATCAAGACAGGTTCCTCTCTGTCTGTCACACTTAATTCATATTAAACTACAGTTATGTATGATAATAGCTCCCTTTCTGGAGCAGGTTTGCTACCAAAAATTTTTTAGGGGCACTTAGGGGGAAGGTTAATGGTTCTTTCTGAGTCTTTTGTTTCTTGAAAATAACCAGCATAAAATAATCAATATCCCAAAAGGTAAATTTTGGGGTGACAAACTCTGCTTCCCCTCGTGAACCCACCACTCTTAGATGTACACCCAAGAGAAATGAGCACGTGTGTTCAGGTTAAACACTGGTACAGGAATGTTCATAGTAACATTATTTATAAAAGCTAAAAAGTGGAAAGGGAAATGTCCATCAACAGATGAATAAACAAAGTAAGATATAGTCACACGATGGAATATTATTCATCAATAAAGAGGAATGACGTACTGATACATACTACAACATAGATGAATCTTGGAAACATTATGTGAAGCGGAAGAAGCCAGTCATAAAAAAGATCATATTATTCCATTTATATAGAATGCCAGATTAGACAAATGCATATAAAGAAGGTAGACTAGTGGCAGCCAGGGGTTGAAAAGAGGGAGGACTGGTAACGGGCACCGGCTGCTTTTCGTGGTGATGAAAATATTCTAGAATTAAATAGTGGTGATGGTTGCACAGCTCTGGGAATACACGAAAAAACACCACTGGAGGGTACGTTTTAAAAGGGTGCCTTTTACGCTATGTGAACTATATTTCAATTTAAAAATCAAACTAAAAATGTTTAATTCTGGCCTTCAGAGAGGAGTGCCGCAGTTTGAGCAGCACTTCCCCGGGCTATCCAGGGAAAGTAAACCAACAGCAACCAGCCGGGCAAGAAGCGAGGTCAGCCACTCCCCTGGGCCCCCGCCCGCCGCCCTGCCACGCCCCCCACAGGAGGAAGGCCCGCCCTGGGGGCTGCTGATTGGGTGAGCCGTAAAAGAGGGCGGGGTGCAAAGGAGCGAGCCTAGTACCGCCCGGCAGGGGGCGGGGCGGGGCAGAGCGAAGCTTTTTCTCGCGAGATTATGCTGGTTCCGCATATCGGTTCAGCTAGGTGGGGGAGGCAGAGAAGGTAGGAGCAGAAGCTCGCATCCGTTTATACTGGCTCGACCCCCGCGCGGACCTGCGGCGGCCAGTTTTCCGCGGTCGGCCGGCTGAGGACTCCGCTACCTCTCAGTTCTCGTGCGGCCTCCGAATCCTGACTGCGGCAGGGGCCAGCAGCCCTTCCCCTCCCCTCTGAGGATAGAAGATGAGCTTCCTCTTGTGAGTGCAGCCGGGCCGAGGGGTCCAGGGCTGAGGGCGGAAGTCGCGCAGGGGGCGAGGGGGTTGCTGAGGCGAGGGCCGGCCCCGGGGTCGGGGTGGCCGGTGCTCGGTTTGCCCAGGTTTGGGGCCACGGGGGAGGCTAGGACGTGGGCCGAGGCAGACGGAGATGAAAAGTCGACGCAAAGGAAACGGAGCGAGAAGGTTGAGAAGAAAGGCCCCGAGGCCCGTAGCGCCTCCAAACTTTTCCGCCCCAACGCCCCTGAGGGCGAAGGGACGACCGGGGGGCGGGGCGCCGGGCCCCGCTAGGGGCTCCCAGCTCTCTCTAGTCTGGAGCCTTTTAGTAACGATCCCTGCTGACTTAGCTTTTACTCCACCGTTTGTCCAGTTTTATCATCATCAGTATTAAGCTACCCCCGTGGGAGAATGCCACCCCAGGAAACCGTAGAGTGAGTGCTGCAGTTGGAGCTGCATTGCTCTAGCACCTTGGTTTTATTCTCAGGTGGCTCTCTCTAGATAGTACATTGCTTAAATATGTGTTGTATGAATGAATAAACATTCATTTTAGTTTCAGACATTACCCACAGGCATTTTATTGAATTTTAAAATTGCATACTGTTTCATAACCAGAGTTAATCTACCTAGTTCCTTATTGTGAGAAATTTGAATTCTTTCGCTATTTGTAAAGTAGTACTGAGAATGTCTTTGTCCAAATCCCTTTTTCTTCCCTCCTTTTGATTATTTTTTTAATGGTATAGTCTTCAAAGTATGATTACCATGTCAAGAAGTCTTTGAGATTTAGATTTTAATTGCAAATTTCTGTGTTACTAGAACAGTTCTCCCCAGTTGCAAATTTCACTAGAATAATCTCTCCTATCCCCCCAAGTCTTTTTCTTATGAGTTAATGTTTATTTAGTGGTTTGTCTCTGTGTGCACGTTGCTTAGTTGCTTTTGGATGTAAATATGAGGCTGTGTATTTCTTCTGAACTTTGTTTTGTTGATGGATATTTGAGTTTCTACTTTTTGGGTTTTCTGTATAATGCTGCTATGAACTTTTGTGTGCTACACATTTTTTTGTACTGGATTGATGTATTCATTTCACTTGGGTATTATACCTAGGAGTGGAATTACTGAGTTACATGTTAATTATGTTTAATCTTTTGAGGAACTGCCAAACTTTTTCAAAGCACTGCACCATTTTCTCATTGTGATTTTAATTTGCATTTCCCTAGTAACTAAGAAGGTTGATCATCCTTTCATGTGCTTATTGGCAATTTGTATATTTTTTTGGAGAAATGTCTATTCAAATCTTCTGACCATTAAAAAAAGGGGTTTTATAATTATAGTTGACAACCTTTGGCCATTTTTAAATTGGGTTCTCTTTTGTTTTTGAGTTGTAAGAATTCTTTATCCCTGATACAAGTCACTTATCACATCTGTGATTTGCAAATATTTTCTCCCATTTTGTGGATGCTTTTCACCGTCTTGGTTTCATTTGAATCACAAGTCTTTTTTTTTTAATAACTTTTTATTTTTTAAACGTTTTTATTGATTTTAGAAAGAGAGGAAGGGAGAGAGTGAGAGATAGAAACATCAGTGAGAGAGAAAAATCCAATGGCTGCCTCCTGCATGCCCCCTACTGGGGATTGAGCCCACAATCCTGGCATGTGCCCTGACTGGGAATCGAACCTGCGACCTCTTGGTGCACAGGAAGACGCTCAACCAGCTGAGCCACACCGGTAGGGCGGAAGTCTTAATTTAGATGGCGATCATATTTGAATATTGAGCGATCATTCCATGTTTTCCAGATTTAGTTTCTGTCATTCACAGTTTTCTATCTGTAAAAGGCCATTACTTCTAATGTAGTACTTCCCTAATAAATGTAGTAGGTATTTACCATGTTAAAAACTTTCCATATTTGATTTTTAATGTTTTTGTAATTCATTTTTACTTCTTAGTCAGTCTTATTTAAAATTCAAATTACTCAGGTAAAGCAAAAGCCCACAGTTTATTCTTTTCCCCTTCTTAGAAGTAATAACCACTATCAATTTGATGTGTATCCTTTCTGACCCTTTCTGTGCATTTACAAAATGGGGTCCTGCTGTACATTTGGTTTTGTTTTAACCATGTCTTGAGATCTTTTCATGTAAATACATGTAGCTCTATCTTGTTCTTGTGTCTTCTTAACTACAATGCAATACTCCATGATGTGGGTGTATCATAGTTTGTTAATTCATTCTTCTAATAAGCCTTAGGATTGTTGCCAAATTTTTTGCTATTAAAAACAATCTTGGAAAACACATCCTTACCATATCTAAGAGAGAGACTTAGAAGTGGGATAGATTAAGGTGCATTTCAGTGTTAACATATACTGCCATATTGCCCTCCTCAAAACACTTTACACTTTCACCAGTAGTGTATTAAAGTACTGTTTTCTCTATACCACACTTAATGTAATTGTTTTAACTTTTGACACTCAGTTTAATGAAAAATAAATCTTTAATTAAATAGCTTTTCAGTTGTTCATTGGTCATTGTATTTTTCCTTCTGAATTGCCTATTCATCTCCTTAGCCCATTTCTCCAAAGGGTTCCTTACCTTTTTCTTAACATTATGGAAGCCCATTATTACCCAGTTTATCTTTTGTAATATATATTGCAAGTACTTTTTTTGTTACACTAGTTTTAATTGTTATGATTTGAAATCCATCCATTTAAGGTTTCTGGGTTTTGTAACATATTAGGAAGACCTTCCTTGTGGATGGTGTCAGATAGTAATAAAAACTTATTTTTCCCCCCAGTAACAGTCTGTCTCATTTATTTTTTCTGCTTAAAACTTTAAAAATGTGATACCTCCGCTGTGGTTTGCTTTGATGGCATCCCAAATGTTTTGGTATAGAAACTGATTTTTTGAGCTTTAGAACCTTAGGGGTACTCCCCTCCCAGCACCATTTTGTGTAGGTGGAAATTGAGGCCAAAAGGAGGTTAGGTTTCTCGAACAGCCACAGAGATCGTGGTAGATCAAGGACTAGAATCCAGATTTTCTTCTGCTTTTGGTTCAAGTGCCCTTTCTATTACACCAGACTGCTTCATGAAATATAGTTAAATTGCCTTCTTTGTGAAATTGTGCTGCTAATCCTGTTTCTACATGAGGAAAGAAATTTAAAGCATTCTTTTATTGTGATCATCACCCCCCACACACACCCCAAATCCTGGCACTTTTCAGGGACTTTTTAATTTTATTTTACAAGCAGTTTATATTCTATTAAAATTATGCCATTCTGCTTCTAGTTCTAAAAATTGATATACTTTTTCTTTTAACCTAACAGCAGCAGCCGGTCTTCTAAAACATTCAAACCAAAGAAGAATATCCCTGAAGGTTCTCATCAGTATGAACTCTTAAAACATGCAGAAGCAACTCTAGGAAGTGGGAATCTGAGACAAGCTGTTATGTTGCCAGAGGGAGAGGATCTCAATGAATGGATTGCTGTTAACAGTAAGTTTTTAATAGCATTAAACTTTACTGGTTTATAGGAAAGTCCTGCTAAAACCTTTTCATTAATGAATTTTATTCTACAGGTCTGTGAGGGTTGTAATATAACAGATTCTCTACAAAGAAAGATATAAATACATTCAAAACTAGTGTTCTTTTCAGAGTACTTGCTTGTAGTTTTTGTGGTTGAGTAGAGAAACCTAAGGAGAAATGATGAGTGCTTGGGAGAATGCAGCTGAGTAAGGTCAAATAAGAGATTGAGAAATGCAAAGCTTCTTCCTGTGGTGGAGCATGATTTTGTAGGCAATCAGCCTGTGTTATTGTGCTCTTACTCCCAGCAGCTCACATCTGCCTCTAAATATACAGAAAAGTCAGTTGCAGTTCATATCTTCAGTCACTTATTTGTTGTGACTTAAGAGTAGTCATAGGAAATTGAGAGATTGGGAGAAAATTGTGGGACCCATGAGCTGAAAGTCACTTTTCTTTTTTTCTCAATCCTCACCTGAGTATATTTTTTCTATTGTTCTTCAGAGAGGGGGGGAGAGAGACATCAACTGGTTGCTTCCCACATGTGCCCCAAGCAGGGGTGGGGAGCAAACCTGCAACCCAGGTATATGCCCTTAACAGGGAATTGAATCCGAGACCCTTCAGCGCAGTGGCCAGTGCTCTAACCAGTGAGCAACACCAGCTAGGTTTGAAAGTCACTCGAGTTCAAGAAAGAGAGAGCATGATTTGGAAGAATATGCTGAGGCTAGGGATCTGAATATTAAGAGTATATCATTTCTAGATAAGATCAGTTCTGGATGATAAGGTTTCAATCTATTAAGAATTTCCAGTGTTCCAGGAATTTTTTTAATGGAAAATTTCAAGCATACAAAAGTAGAGAAACTAGCACAGTGAATTCCCAGGTATCCATTATTCATCTTTAACAATGATCAGTTCATGGCCAGTTCATGATTCTTACCCTGATTATTTTGGAGTAAATCCCAGACATATATATTATTTCATCTATTAAGATTTCAGTATTTCTAAAAGATAGCTCCCCTTTTAAAGATAGTGACAGTACCATCATTTCTTTATGTTATCACATATCCAATCAGCATTCACATTTCTGCTGATTGTCCTATAAATGTTTCTTATTTTTAAAAAAATGTATGGTTGAGCCCTGGCTGCTGTGGCTCGGTTGGGTGCTGTCCCAACCAAAAGGTGCCCAATTCAATTCCTGGTCAGGGCACGTGCCCTCGTTTTGGGCTTGATCCCCAGTAGGGGGCGTGCAGGAGGAAGCTGATTGATGTTTCTCACATCTATGTTTCTCTTTCTCTCCCTCTCCCTTCCTCTCTTTCTAAAATCAATAAAAACCATTTATTGTTACTATTTTTTTTAATGTATGGTTGGTTTAAATCAGGATACAGAAAGGCCTGTTTTTTTTGTTTGGGTTTTTTAATTTTTAAATTTATTGGAGTGACATTGGTTAATAAAATTATATAGGTTCCAAGTGTACAATTCTATAATACATCGTCTTTATATTGCATTGTGTGCTCACCACCCAAAGTCACATTTCCTTTTGTCACTGTGTATTGAGTGCCTAAGTATTGCTTTCTTAGAAACATCACTAATTAAGAGGAAGGTTTGTAAGTGAGGGAGTTTCGTACAAAGTTCCTTTAATATGTTTTTTAAGAAACTTGGAAAAGCCCTAGTGGATTTTTAGGTACTCCTTTATAGGGAACTAAAACATGTTTTAAAACTTGTGTGGTTTTGTCCTGGCTGGTGTTGCTCAGTTTTTTAGGCGTCATCCCATACACCAAAGGGCTGCTGGTTCGATTCCTGGTGTCTCTATCCCCGTTGGTGGGGGGTGTGGAAGGCAGCCAATTGATGTTTCACTCTCACATCAATGTTTCTCTTTCTCTCTTTCCCCCTCTCCCGTCCTCTCTAGAAATCACTTAAAAAATCTTTTAAAAAAACAACACGAAGACTTGTGTGGTTTTAAGGCTTATATGGTTCTCTTTGTACAAGCGTAATAAGTTTCACTCAGTTAAGTTGTTATACTCACCTTCTTCTTCTTCCATTTTTTTGCAGATCTTCCTGAAGTTCCTTTAGGACATACTCCGATTACCTCAACTCTTTAATATGTTGCCTTTTCTCTAAACTCTCACACTTACTGTAGGCCTTTGTATAACTACCTTCTTGTATGTTGTATTATTCATCTTTTGTAATTTTGTCCCTTCTGCTAGCTGGAGAATCCAGGGCAAGGAACATTATTCCATGTCTTTATTATGTCCTCAATATGCATAGCCTCAATTTTTTTATGATGAATTAGATTTTTTAAATGCCTATTGATAACAGCCACTACACCTTCTCCCTCACAATGTATTTCACAACGCTTTTCTAACACATAATATTGTCTGCTCCAGGTGAATAGAAGCTATGGCTTTTTTCAGACCCTTCGATGTAATCAAATTGTATATTCTAATATACAGTTGTCACCATTAAGTTAGAATTATCTCTGATTTTAATTTTTCTGCTGTTATTTGCTGGTTAAAAGCTTAGTATGTTAAAAATGAATGTATATTAAAAGTTTACTTAGGTGCGACAACTTACAAAGAGAATTTACAGTATTCCTGGATTGTTGAATTTCCCAAGGATTCAGCCAAGAATTTGAACACTTAGTCTATTTTTCCTTCAACTGAGAGGTCTGATGTTTTGTTGTGTTTACACAGATATTTTAACACAATTCTGCCATTATCGTTCCAGCTGTGGATTTCTTCAACCAGATCAACATGTTATATGGAACTATTACAGAATTCTGCACTGAAGCAAGCTGTCCAGTCATGTCTGCAGGTCCAAGGTACATATTACTGCTTTTTATATACATGTTTGGATTATTAAATAAAATTAACCACTAATTGATTGAAATTAAATAGTAAAGACTTTTTTTCTTGTCTGCTTGTGTAAAAGCATTTCAATTTTATGAGTTCTTGAATACTTACCTATAAGCTTTTAGTTATTATTAAATACTTTGGCATTTGGTACTTAGTGTTTGATTTTATAATTGCAATATAGTAATTGCAATTAATCATTCTAGTTAAGCAAAGGTGGGGGGGCAGGGAGATGCATGCTTAAGGATGTATCTTTATTGTTTTTTTAAAAAATATGTCTTTATTGATTTCAGAGAGAGGAAGGGAGAGGGAGAAAGAGAGAGAGAAACATCAATGATGAGAGAGTCATCATTGATTGGCCGCCTCCTGCAAGCCCCCTGACTGGGGATTGAGCCCACGACCTTCGCATGTGCCCTGACCAGGAATCAGACCGAGATCTCCTGGAGCCTAAGTTGATGTTCAACCGCTGAACCACACCCAGCTGGGCAAGATGAATGTTTAATTGGAGGAGAAAAAGGAAAAAAATACAGAATTTTATTAACATGGTTCCGTTTCTGTTTTTTAAATTAATTTCTTGAAATCGAGTTTTTAGTTGACTTTTTAATATTTGATTCTTTTTTCTTGTGCTTATTTAGTGTTGATGACTTCCAAATTTTGCTGCATTAATTATCTGGCTTAAAGATGGTAGATTTTAAAAATTTGACTATAATAAATTTCAAGAAATACTGAGAAAGAAATGGAACTCTTTTGTCACCCATATATTGTCAGGATGTGATGGTGTGTGATTTAGGTGTTTCTTTCCAGTCTTTTTGATACAGTAAATGACTGATGTGATGATAGTTGGTATCAAAATATTTATTTACCTTTTGGGAAAAAATTGTGTTTTCTGAATTTGCTAAAGGTATAAAGGATAAATAGGTCCCCAATGAGTTCATAGTCCTATTTTTATTACAGTATTTTAGGAAGGATGTTTTTATTTTGTGTTGTTTTAAGTTTTAGTTCTCAAACTTCCTTAAAAGAAATTTAAATAAAATAAATACGAAAATTAACCTTATCTGTAGCTTAAATGCTTTATACAGTGAAGTTTTGTGTATGTCTTGTTAATCATTCTAGTTAATCATTCTAGTTAAGCAAAGGTGGGGGCGGTGGGGAGATGGATGCTTAAGGTTTTAAAATCTTGACTATTGGTGAAAGCTTGGTGGTCAAGGATCTCAATGTGGTGACCCATCATTCCCTTCCCCAGTCCTCTGCATCCTCTTCCTAACAGACAGGAATGCAGTTCCTTTGTCTTGCCCAGGGCTGTGCTAAGAAACATCCATTCTGGCACTGCAGATGCCACATTACCTTC